CCCACCCACCATATTCTCCATATATGGCACCATCAGATTACCATCTTTTTCGTTCGCTGTAACACCATCTTAACGGGAAAACGTATGCAAATGTGGAAGATGTTAAAGAGGACATCGAAATGTTTTTTTTGCTTAAGAGCCAAGTGCTTTAATTGGGGCGTTAACAACCTGATTGTAAGATGAAAAAGCATCATCGATAAGAATGGAGACTATTTCATTTAATAAATGTTTTGTTTTGATATATATACGTTGTTCGGGTTTTTACATTTAAAAAACACGACATTAATTTCTTGACGACCTAACATACACAAAAGTTGAGGAGACTAAAGGACATGTACAAGAAAGTGAACAGGGCTAAAATACAGTTTCATTCTCAGTATGTAAATATACAAGAAGGGTTACCTGAAGAACAATTCTTTCCATAATTTATATAGATAGAAGATGGTTTATCTAAAGGATAAGCCTATCCATAATATATAAAGATACAATAATGTTTATCTAAAGAACAAATCTAACCACAGTACAAAACGACACAAGAAGGTTTGGCTAAAGAATAAATCTATACATGCATATAAAGATACAAGTTTTATATAAAGAACAAGTCCATCCATAGTATGTAAAGATAAAAGAAGGTTTATCTAAAGAATGAATATATTCATAGTATGTAAAAAAGAAGGTTCATCTAAAGGATAAACCTATCCATAACATAAAGATTCAAGAAGTTTTATCTAAAGAACAAATCTATGCATAGTATATATACGTATAGGATAAAGACTGTTTATCTAAAGAACAAGCCTATCCATAAAATATACATATACAGAAAGGTTTGTCTAAAAAACAAATCTATCGATATTATATATAAACACAAGAAGGTTTATTAACCTAACGAAGTGTTTTTGTCTCTAGTATATAAAGGTATACGAAGGTTTACCTTACCTAAACAACAGTTTTAACCCTAATATGTAAACGCATAAGAAGGTTTACTTTACCTAAACAACAGTTTTAACCCTAATATGTAAAGGCATAAGAAGGTTTATCAACCTACAGGACATTTTTATTCTTATTAAGTAAACATATATGAATGTGTACAGATGGAATCTTGCCTCTCTCTCGTTGTTACCGAAGCTAATTCCTAAATTGGGCATGGCTCGAAGAATGGCTACTAGGGACTGTGCAGTGTTACTGTACACAACAGGCTTGTACTGGCGAAAGTCTTCCTGGGTAAAACCGCTGTCATGGATGATTCTGGAGAGGAACAGATAATTGTTAGTTCATAATACAGAAAATCACATATTGATGATAAATCTATTTTGTGGATGTTAGCTAATTTTGTTTTAATAAGCTAGAAACCAGCATTAGAATCGAGGGTGGACGCGAGTGAAAACGTTTACCCAACTTTTTGGAAGATTGGACGTCTTCCACCCACCATTTTTTGTAAGTTTTTAAGAAGTAATATGTAACCAGTTTAACTTGTATTTTGGCTCATAATTCAAATGTAATTGATATAAAAATTGTAAGTAAATATTATGTTAGTAAATTTCCGTTTCTAGCAGGGTTAGACTCCTACAGAAAACAGTGAGTGGACTATTTATGGTTGTCTAATTCGAAGATAAAATTACAAAATTAAAACCTTCCAAAACTACTATCCAGAATAAATAACAATGCAAACGGGAGTATATTCCGGAACTTCATGGATATTTATGCAAAAGTGACTGAAAAACGGAGAGAAAATTCAGGCTTGAGTAGATGTGTGTGTGTGTTGCACTGATAAGATTTGAACACCATTGTCGATAATGTGGTATGCAGCCATACCGTGTTCTCCTACCTTTAATAGCAGTATAGAATCATTCTATATTATTGATTATTTCCGCACTGTCATGGTGGCAACACGTTGTTCAAGGTATAGAACATTACCTTGTTCTAGTAACTTTAGCCCTTTTTTTCATTTGTTAGATGACGTCCTCGCATGTTAGGATATTTCAGTGCCGTATCTTGAACCTGAGTTGAACTAGTTAAAAGTGGAATATATATTGTTAGCCGAACTATGACGTCAATTGAAACTGATAGCTACCCAATCCTGTCAGGGAACAGCGGTAACAAGGTGACGCCATCCACTGGACAAAGAAAGCGAGGTGATGTTCAAAATCCAAGCGTGCTTTTTTTTGTTCAGTTCTATTTGGTTTTCATTGTGACTAGTTTGGAAGAGATTCATCTTGACAGACAGAAAGCTTGCGAGCTATTCACTGATCCAATAAAGGCGATCGTCCACTGCTCTACGCAGGTACGCACAGTTTATTTTATGTTGTACCTAAATAAAGATTTTTTCACTGTCATTTAAATATGTCCAATCTGTTTATTTCTCACGCTACTTAAAATTCAATCACGTTATAAATTAGAGAACACTTTCCTTATCTAATGCTCGAATCTGCTGTTATTTGTGGATTTGCCTAAATCGTATTATTCAATTTGGTAATTGGACAATGTGTCATGTTTTATTACCAAACAAAAAGGGCATAATGATATAACAGAGGTTTAATTAAAATTAAACGAACTGAATAACTAAATCTGTCATCAAAGACTATTAAAGTTTGTTTGGAAAGGTGTTAGTTCATTAAAAGAACAGTTAGTTTATGCTTGGAATTACCCTTTGGAAGATGTTCATCGTGACTTGTTAGATTTGTTTCTTCACTGATGAAGACATTAAGCGGAAACTAAAGCTTTTAAGACCTGAGGGTGTTAGGGTAACATACGTTTTTACTTTGAATAATGTAAATGAAAATATTTGTTAATCCCTAAAAAAATACAGTTATTAAACAAATCTGCTACGAATCAAGCAATCAACAATGATGTTAAGTGCAACACACAAACCCAAATCTCTTATGTTTACATTGAATCAAAACTATTGTTGTGATATTTTCAGGTAAAACAGATTTCCCGATAAGTATCAGACATTCAAACTTAAGATTAGAAATAAACGCTGATTCACTGATAGCTAGGAATAATTGGTAAATAAACAAATTCACAACATCATAGAAAAGGAGAGAAAAGATGGTTTTACTTCTGTGTTTTAAACAGCCAACAACTGAATTAAACGCCATTATGGACATCAATAATTACTTGTTTAAGTGTTATTTACCCAACTTCCTAGGAATACCCAATAAAGAGGTTTAGCTACAACCTCTGTCAGTATGGTAACGGAACAATGTTCGCAAATATCGACCAAACAATATAAGACGCAAGAATGAATATACCAAATCTGCATAGAAACTGCTTATTCATTCTACAGAGGCTTGACTGAATTCCCATAATTAGATAAAGGAAAATGCCTTGAAAATGGTCAATTGAGGTGACCAAAGTAACGACTTATAAATTCGAACAACTTGTTAAAATTTCGTATTACAGTTATCTAAACGTAACCACGAACAATTTGGTAACGCGCCATTTGATTTAACAAGAAGAAAGAAATAATGCGAGGAGGAAAGTAACATATTGTTGGTAAGGCTAGGGCTTTATAATGACAAAGTGAAAAATGCAGCACGATTACGAAATTACAGTGTTCACGATTATTGCAATGATACAAGAATGAGTGTCTAGGCCTTATAGCTCCTTCTTCTAACGCTAATAAGAGTGGACAGGGACAAAGTGATTCGGTATCCAAATTGTTACAACAGGTCATAAGCAACCGTCTGGTCTCCCAGTGGCACAGTAGTATGTCTGCGGACTTAGAACGCTAGAAACCGAATTTCGATACCCGTGGTGGGCAGAGCATAGATAGCCAATTGTGTAGCTTTGTGCTTAAGTACAAATAACCGCATGTACACTATGCTCCTGACGTTTTTCTTTAGATATAAAATTGTTCTTGATTAATTTCTTCTTTTGACAAAAATTGTTTTCAGTGATTTAAAAAATAAACATATGTCAATAAATACATCCACTTAAGAACACTTTTAATTTAACCTTCCATAATCAATATTATGTTCCCATTTTACACGCTATTCCCAAACACATATAGCTAGGTTTTTTAATATACATAGTTACTAAAATACGAACATTAACGGAAATGTTTATGAATCTTAATTAATATGATAGTCTTGAATAATCCTTTCTTATCACGTCAGTATTACCTCAAAAATACACATATCAGAACTCCTACAAGAAGGAAGATATTAAGGTTCCAAATATATACTACAGGATTAAAATCTGGTTCTGGACAGATGATTTGAAAGTTTTTAATATTTTTATTCTGAAAACAAGCATGGAGTGTAAGTGCTTTGTGGAAACAACAAAAAAATCTCCAATGGCTCCATAAATGTGTTTAATTGAAACTTCTTGATATTCTTATACAAAAACTTTACAAGTAAGTCCTACACCAAATGCACCCTTCACAATTACCACAACAAATAAATTGTTGTTTACCTACCTAATACCAAACAATGTATAACCATCACTTTGAAACTGAGTGTGGCGACTTCTACCACTTTTTACTTCCGGTGGTAACGATATTTTCACCCCCTCCTAAACAACATTAACAAAACCCTAACATATTAACGTTTGTCATACTCTGACAGCATTATCGGCTAACTTGATTTTTTTTTTATGAAATTAATCTTCAAATAACTTTGAATGACATAATATTTCAAGCGTGACCGAAGAATGTACAGTATTTTAAGTACCAATGATCTCCTCTTTCCCAAATTAACTTCATGTTTTGGCATGTTACACACTTTGACCCTAGTATATCTTCATACACACACACACACACACACACACATATATATATATGCATCTGATATGCCATTGTATTTATAATCTCCGAATTTTTATGCAGAGCAAGTTGAGTAGGCCATGTTCAAGCACTATCCGATATTTCTGTTAAAGTTCTTACAAACAGACAAATTTATCTCGTATGACATCATCATCATTCCACACCAACTCCAAAAACAATGGGAAAATGTGCATTCTAGGTCAAGAAAATATGATCAGTACCTTAAAATTTCAAATCAAAATGCTTTACCAAAGATGTTACTGTTGCATGAACGTCACTAATTCAATTATAAATCAAATGTAAGTTTTGAATACTGCATTTCTGTCAGTTACATTGTAAACTTACAAAGAGGCTTAAGTACTGACTGGTCTCTTATTAAGTAAAAAGTTAGGATTAAGGTTTATACTGCATCACAGACAGCTACAATGTAAATAACTCCGAGACAAGTTTGACTTAGGTTTATGCTGTATCTCAAGTATTTACAGTCTAACTTTACCGAAAAGGGTTAATTATTGTTACGGAATAGACACTAATTACGTAATAAGTTAGGCGTAAGGTTTTATATAGGCCCGGCATGGCCAGGTGGTTAGGGCGCTCGACTCGTAATCTGAGGGTCGCGGGTTCGAATCCCCGTCACACCAAACATGCCAACCTCCGCCTTTGCCTGGTCCCAAGTCCAGGATGAGAAAGGAGGAGGGTTGGGCGCGGGGCTAGCAACTCCACCCCGTAAAAACCAACCTGCTACAAGTAACTGCAACAACACCTTCCGTTGGCGAGGTGTTGTTGCGGCCCTATGCTCCACTGGGAGTTTACAGGAATAAAAAAAAACAACAAAAAACTAAATACTACTAGAAATATTGAATATGTATCAGTTTGAAGTAGTCATTTATTATCACGCGCTAATTCCCAAAACTGATCCCGAAAACATTAAATAAAATTGCCAATGTATGTTAAGAGCTTAAATAAATCGTTTGTCGTTCGTATATAACAAATATAATTTATGGATTAGCTCGTACTCTGAAAGAGTGTTAATAAGATTCACAAAAGATGACTTTAAAAATTGATTAAACATTTATTGGGTTCTTTGCGGCGTGAAAATAGATGTCCACATCTGGATACTGCTTGCGCAAATTTGTGATGATAGCTTATGTGATATATATATATATTACAGAAACTTATTTGTTTGTTTGTTTTAAGGTAAAGCCACATTGGACTATTTTCTGTGTCCATTGCGGGGAATCAAACCCCGGATTTTTAATGTTGTAAGTTCCTCAAATTACCGCTGATCCACCAGTGGATAATGAAGAAGTAAAACGTATTAACAGTTTAGCTAAACCTGTTAATATCTAAGTTTTACTTTCCGGGCACTATTGTGTTTATCGTGACAAAAGGCGTCGAGTTTGATGAAAACTCGAATATAGTTATCTATACATTTCGTGTAATTATTACACTTTTTTGATGAACAGTTA